CCCTCGGGGGGTCCCTGCGCCTTCTCTGCCCAGGGTCCTTGTTGAGTTTCCGCAGTTTTGGGATTATCTGGGTCCGCCAGAGACCTGGGCAGTGTTTGGAATGGGTCACGGGCATCTACAGCAATGGTTCCTACATCTACTACGCGCCATCGGTGAAGGGCCGGTTCACGATCTCCAGGGACAATGGGCAGAACTCGGTGACTCTGACCATGAAAAACCTCAAGGACGAGGATTCTGGATCCTATTTCTGTGCCAATGGTGCTTATCGGGGTTGGTTGGATGGTTCTGGTGTTGAACATTTTGACCCCACCCCCATCTCCTCATCCCCCCTGTCCCAGTTGCCCAGACCCTTCCGCCAAACCCCCAGCCCACACCCAGCCCTTGACCATTGATCCCAACCTTGCTCTGCCTCGGCCCCAATTCGCACCTGCTGACCCCAAACCACAACTCCTGACCCCAAATCTCCTCTCTGTGCCCCAAACTTTGCTCTGAAGGTCGGGGTTTGAGGCCCAGGGCCCCAATTTGGGTTGGAATTGGGGATTTGTGTCAGTGGTGGCTGCTCAGGGCCAGCAGCGCAGATTTGGGCAGAGTCGGGCGAGTTCAGCCCAGCGGTCCTGGCAGAGGGTCCGGGGCCAGCCCAGGAGCCAAAATGGCCCTGAGTGGCCCCCGAGCTGAGGTGTGGGGCGCGGAGCTTAGAATGTGGGGCAGGTCCAGGGCAGGGTTGGGGCCCGGGGATCGGAATGGGGTGAGGGGCTGGGGATTGGGCAAAGGGGATTGGGCAGATGGGGAAAAGTGGGGACACAATTGTGCATATGGGGCCAAAACCGTGGGCGTCATTATCACTAGCAGTGCCACCAGCGCCCATGGCACAGAAATAGCATCCGGAACCCTCGTCCTTGAGGTTGTTCATGGTCAGCGTCACTGAGCTCTGCCCATTGTCCCTGGACGCCGTGAAGCGTCCCCTGACTGATGGCGCGTAGAAGGCGCCGCCACCACTCCAAATCCCCACAAGCCCTTCCAGTCCTTGCCCTGGTCTCTGGCGGATGCAGTACATGTCAACATTCCTGAAATCGAACCCGGAACCGCGGCACAGCAACGTCAGGGACCCCCCGGGGGGCTGGAGGTTCCCCCCCGCACTCCAGCAGGGTCACAGCCATCCGGAGCCCTGCGGGACAAAGGGGAGATCATTAAAAATGAGAAATATGATTGCTCCAGAAGGGGAAAGGGGTGTGGCTTTTGGAAAAAGGGATGGGGCCCACCTGGGAGGGGCAGCAGGAGCAGCAGGGCCAGGAGCCGGAGGGAATTCAAGGAATTGGCCGTGTTGTGCTGGGGTGGGGTCCCGGGGGATTTTGGCAGTCATTAATGAGTTTTTAATTGCACCATCAGTGGAGAAGAATCAGGAGGAGGTTTCCAATTACTAACAAGTGGATACGGGAGAATTGCACGATTTGAGGCAACTTATTATACAGGAGATCTCTGGTAGAAATTTGGGAGCAAACCAGGGCAGTTTGGTAATAACTGGGAAGGTTTGGGGATGGGCTCCGGGCGGCCGTGACCCTGCTGGAGTGCGGGGGGTACCTCCAGCCACCCACGGGGTCCATGTGCCTCCTCTGCCGAGGGGCCGGGTTCAGTTTCGGGGCTCACTCCATCACCTGGACCCGCCAGAGGCCCGAGCAGGAGCTGGAATGGCTAGCGCTGATCGACGCTAGCGGTGCCCACGCCTGGTACGCGCCGTTGGTGCAGGGCCGGTTCAGCATCTCCAGGGACAGCGGGCAGAGCTTTGTGACGCTGACCATGGACAACCTCAAGGACGAGGATTCTGGATTTTATTTCTGTGCCAGGGGTGCTGATGACGACGCCGATGATATTGATGCCTGTGGGATTGGCACCACCACCATGGCTGTGTCCTCAAATGTCCTCATTCCCCAGACCCTCCCCTCATTCCCAGCCCTGGTCCCCGCACTCGGTGACTGAATTCGTGTCCACAGCCCTGGGCCCAGTGCTGACCTTTGGGGCAGAGTTTGGGGGAAGATCAACGGCCAGGGGTTGAGGTTTGGGGTTCGAAGAGGGGAAAGGGAAATGGAGAAATGGTCACGGGCGGGGTCAGGGGCTGGGAGCTGGGGAAGGGTCTGTGGAACAGGGACAGGTGGGGATGCAGTGACGGGGATGGGGTCAATACAGCAGGCATCATTATCAGCAGCATAACCAGCAAAACCCTTGGCACAGAAATAGGATCTGGAATCCTCGTCCTTGAAGTTGTTCATGGTCAGTGTCACCGAGCTCTGCCCATTGTCCTGGGAGATCATGAACCAGCCCTTGACCGATGGCGCGTAGGCAGTGCTGGAACCACTGCTGTAGATGCCTGCGACGTATTCCAGCTCCTGCCCGGGTCTCTGGCGGATCCAGAGCATGTCAGAGCTGCCAAAGCTGAACCCGGACCCTCGGCAGAGGAGGCGCAGGGACCCCCTGGGGGGCTGGAGGTGCCCCCCTGCACTCCAGCAGGTTCACGGCCACCTGGAGCCCTGCGGGACAAATGGGAGATGGGGATGGGGCCAAAGCTCAACCCTACACCCAAATCCTGACTCTTGGCCCAAAACTGGGACCCTTGGAGTTCATCATCCTCCTCTAAGGTGGGTCCCACCACTTTTTGAAGCATGCCAGGCCAACTAGGGCTCTCTTCACCAATCAGGTTTCTCATCCCCATCTCCCCTTTGTCCCGCAGGGCTCCGGGCGGCCGTGACCCTGCTGGAGTGTGGGAGGGACCTCCAGTCCCCCGGGGGGTCCCTGCGCCTCCTCTGCCGAGGGTCTGAGTTCAATTTTGGGGGTTTTGAAATTGAATGGGCTTGACAGTGTCCCGGGCAGGGGCTGGAGTGGGTCGTGGGGGTCAGGTACGATGGTGCTGACACCTACTACGTGCCCTCAGTCAAGGGCTGGTTCACTATCTCCAGGGACAATGGGCAGAGCTCGGTGGCGCTGACCATGAACAACCTCAAGGACGAGGATTCCGCCACCTATTTCTGTGCCAAACGTGCTTATGGTGATAATTAGGCTTATGCTGAAACTTATAATTTTGTCCCCGTCTCCGTGCCCTTGCTCCCCTCCTGTCCCCATTCCCCAGGCCCTTCCCACAAACCCCAAGCCCTGACCCCGTTCCTGCCCCTTTGTCCCAACCCTGATAAGACCCAGATATCTGATTTGGGCTGATCCCCGTGCCATGCTGGCCGATCTGGATAACTCTGGGCGACAGAGTTCCCGAACAGCCAATCAGCTCAGAGATGCCACCATCTCAGCAAGCTCAGTGACTTCAGCTCTTTAGTGATTCTCAGCTCTCAGGATTACAGCTCTTTTATTGATTATCAGCTCTCTCAGGATTCCAGCTCTTTTATTGATTATCAGCTCTCAGGATTTCAGCTCGTTAGGGATTCTCAGCTCTCAGGATCTCAGCTCTTTGCTCACTCTCTGGGGCACCTTTGGCTGGGTCAGAAACAGACGGACAGAGAGGACAAGGAGAGGTCCTGGCGGCTCCACAGCCATGGTTCATTGAGGGATCTGTGAGGGGTTCCAGCGACAGCTCTTCTCCTGTCAGATGGGCTAAACCAGCCCCTTTTATAGGGTAGAGGGGGATCCAAACCTGTCCAACAGTGAGGGTCAGGGAGAAGACACAAATGGGGTTACAGAGAGAAGATGTGGGGCAGTGGGCAAAAGACAGGAGATTATTTTGCTGTTCCGTCATGACTGACCAGTTCCTGCTGTTACGTCTCAATCCTCCCTGGAGCTCGCGCAATCTCTGTGGATTCTGCTAAAGGACATGGGGTCAACACGATAGGCAACAGTCTCACAGCCACTACCATCATCAACAGATTTGGCACACAAATCACATCCGGAATCCTCGTCCCTGAGGTTGTTCATGGTCAGCGTCACTGAGTTCTGCCCGTTGTCCCTGGAGATCGTGACCCGGCCCTTGACAGCCGACGTGTAGGCGGTGGTGCCACCACTGGTGATCCCCGCCAGCCACTCCAGCCCATGCCGGGGTCTCTGGCGGATCCAGTACATGGTGGAACTGCCAAAACTCAACCCGGACCCTCGGCAGAGGAGGCGCAGGGACCCCCCGGGGGTGTGGAGTTTCCCCCCGCACTCCAGCAGGGTCAGGGCCGCGCCCCCATCCCCAAACCTTCAGTGGTTTTGCCACCAATTCCCTTTGTTTGTCCCCAGACATCCAACAGAGGTATCCTGAATGGTAAAGTGCCTTCACCCCTGCAATTAGCCCCAATCCATCCATTAATTATTCTGACAGCTCTTCTGACTTTTGCATCTACTCAGCCCCATCTCCCCTTTGTCCCGCAGGGCTCCGGGCGGCCGTGACCCTGCTGGAGTGCGGGGGGGGACCTCCAGCCCCCCGGGGGCTCCCTGCCCCTCCTCTGCCAAGGGTCCGGGTTCAGTTTCGGGGCTCACTCCATCACCTGGACCCGCCAGAGGCCCGGGCAGGAGCTGGAATTGCTGGCGCTGATCGACGCTAGCGGTGCCCACGCCTGGTACAAGACGTCGGTGCAGGGACGGTTCAGGATCTCCAGGAACAACGGGCAGAGCTCGGTGACGCTGACCTTGAACAACCTCAAGGACGAGGATTCCGAATCCTATTTCTGTGCCAGGGGTGCTGATGATGACGCCGATGATATTGAGGCCTGTGGGATTGGCACCACCACCATGGCTGTGTCCGCAAATGTCACCATTCCCCAGACCCTCCCCCAGATCCCAGCCCTCGTCTCCGCTCTAGGGGACTGAATTTGTGTCCCCAGCCCCGGGCCCAGCGCTGAACTTTGCGGCAGAGTTTGGGGGAAGATCAATGGCCAAGGGTTGGGGTTTTGGGTACGGAGAGGGGAAAGGAAAAGGCAGAAATGGTCACGGGCGGGGTCCGGGGCTGGGAGCTAGGGAAGAGTCTGACGAACGGGGAAAAGTTGGGGTGCTGTGTTTGGTGTGGGGCAATCACTGGGAAGGTCCCCATGAGCAACAGCAACAGGAGCACCAGTATTGACAGATTTCCCACAGAAATAGATGGCGGAATCTTCGACTTTGAGGTTGTTCACAGTCAGCACCACCGAGCTCTGCCCGTTGTCCCTGGAGATCCTGAACCGGCCCGTGACCGATGGTGCGTACCAGGTGCTGCCAACATTACTGTTATCTGCAATGTCCTCCATCCCCTGCCCGGGTCTCTGGCGATACCAGCCCATCCCAAAACTACCAAAACTGACCCCAGACCCTCGGCAGAGGAGGCGCAGGGACCCCCCCGGGGTGCTGGAGGTCCCCCCCGCACTCCAGGTGCGTCACGGCCGCCCGGAGCCCTGCGGGACAAAGGCCAGATGGGCATCAGGCCAAAGCTCAAACACTGACCCAAATCCTGACCCTTGGCCCCAAACTCGGACCCTGGAGGTTCATCATCCTCCTCCCAGGTTTGTCTCGATACTTTATCAAGCTTGACCCTCCAGTTTGCGGCCCTGAACGATCAGGTTTCTCATCCCCATCTCCTCTTTTTCCCGCAGGGCTCCGGGCGGCCGTGACCCTGTTGGAGTCCGGAGGAGACCTCCAGCCCCCCGGGTGGTCCCTGACGTTGCTGTGCCAAGGATCCCGGTTCAGTTTTGGTGGTTTTGCCCTACAATGGGTCTGCCAGAGACCCGGGCAGGGGCTGGAATGGGTCGCCTATATCAGCAACACTGGTGGCACCATCTACTACGCGCCGTCAGTCCAGAGTCGGTTCAAGATCTCCAGGGACAACGGGCAGAGCTCGGTGACGCTGACCACGAACAACCACAAGGACGAGGATTCCGCCACCTATATCTGTGCCAAAAGCTGGGATGGTTGTTGTGGTCCTGCTGCTGGTAAATTCATTGATAGTGATGTTGGTCACGGTGGTTTTTTCTGAGTCCTCAATTTTGAGTTCCCTCCTCTCCCAAAACCAGACCTTTCCCCCAAACCTCAGACCTTGACCCTTTGTCCCAAATCTCCCCAATTTGCCCCAAGGGTCAGCACTGACCCCAAACCCTCCTCTGCTCCTGCCCCAAAACTCAACCATTGGCCCCAAACCTTCACCCCTGGCCTCCAGGTCAGGCCTTTTCCGATCAGGGCCTGGGGAGCTTGGTGAGATTTTGGTGAAATGGGCAAAACTGGGGAGACAATCGAGACTAGGGGAAGGATGGGGCAAAGTTTGGGGGAAAGTAGGGAAGATTTGACACAAACGGCTGGGATGCCGGGGAAGGATGGCTGGGCATTGGAGACATTTTTTGACCAACATGGGGGTGGCCCGCTGACAGAATTTTCGCCAATAAGACCAGGACCAGAAAAACCATAATCATTATTGCTACGTTTGGCGCAGAAATAAATGGCGCAATACTCGTCCTTGAGGTTGTTCATGATCAGCATCACCGAGCTCTGCCCGTTGTCCCTGGAGATCGTGAACCGACCATTGATTGATGGCGCGTGGTGGGTGGTGCCAACCCCATTGATACTTGCGAGGTATTCCAGGACCTTCCCAGATTTCTGGCGAATCCAGAACATTCCATAATTTCTGAAATCGAACCCGGCCCCTCGGCAGAGGAGGCGCAGGGACCCCCCGGGGGGCTGGAGTTCCCCCCCGCACTCCAGCAGGGTCACGGCCGCCCGGAGCCCTGCAGGAAAAAGGGGAAATGGGGATGAGGCCAAAGCTGAACATTGACCCAAATCCTGACTCTTGGCCCCAAACTGGGACCTTTGGACCACCCCATCCTAGTTGTCCTTCTCCTGCTGCCCCTCAGATGGGTCCCGCCCCATTTTCCAGTTTGACAAACCCACTTTGAGGCCTACAGCCAATCAGGTTTCTCATCCCCATCTCCCCTTTGTCCCGCAGGGCTCCGGGCAGCCGTGACCCAGCTGGAGTGCGGGGGGGACCTCCAGCCCCCCGGGGGTTCCCTGCGCCTCCTCTGCCTAGGGTCCGGGTTTGATTTTGGGAATTACGGAATGTACTGGATCCGCCAGAGACCCGGGCAGGCGCTGGAATTCGTTGCTGGGATCAATGCTGATGGTGTCAACACCTTCTACGCACCGTCGGTCAAGGGCCGGTTCAGGATCTCCAGGGACAACGGGCAGAGCTCGGTGACGCTGACCATGAACAACCTCAAGGACGAGGATTCCAGATCGTATTTCTGTGCCAAGCGAATTTCTGGTGGCAATGCTGGCACTGCCGGTGCTTTTGGCCCTGTCCTCATCACCGTGTCCTCAGCTGTCCCCAGACCTCTCCCCTGTGGTCACACATGGCCAGCGTCACCGAGGTCAGCCCGCTGTCCTTGGCCATGCTGACCCGACCCTTGACCGATGGAACGTTCCAGGTGACTCCACCCTTGCACCCATCTGCTGCTCACAGCATGGAGCCCTTGGCTCGAGATCACTTTCAACAATTTCATCTCTCCAAAATTTCAGGCGTATTTGGGAACAAAAACGGGTTTTTTCTCCATAGCTCCCAGAGAGGATTCCAGCCCAGCCCCAAGGAGCAGCCCCAGACACCGCGGCTGCTGAGGGAGAAGTGAAGCCCCAGGTGGGAGCGAGGGAGGGAGGGAGGGAGAAGAAGATGCCATGATTTTGGGGCTCCGCAGCCTCCCCCCACTTCCTCCCTGGCAGCTGCCGGGGCCCAGCCGGGGCAGGGAAGGAAACAGAAAGTTCCTGGTTTTGGTCATTGTGAACATCTGTGTTTGGCAGAGGGCAGCTCAGCCTCGGGGTGCTGCGGCAGAGCACCGGCTGCACAAAAAGCTTTGTGTGCAAAGGGGCCTGGAGCGATCCCCGTTCCGCACTAGGACGGAGGGGAACTAGGGGAGATTGGAGAGAAATGGGTAAATTGGGGGAAACCAAAAGCTGGGGCAGCAGGGGTGGAGTTTAGGGGGAAATGGTCAAGATTTGAAAAACAGGGGTGGGGATTTTAGGGAAGGATTAGAGAATTCTGAGATCTTTGGGAAGGGAGAGGAGAGGGTTTGGGACCACAACCACCATCAAGACCATAAGCAGCACCACCACTACCACAACCACTGCTGTAAAATTTGGCACAGAAATAAACGGCAGAATCGTCGTCCTTGAGGTTGTTCATGGTCAGCGTCACCGAGCTCTGCCCGTTGTCCCTGCAGATCGTGAACCGGCCCTTGACCGACGGCGTGTAGTCGGTGTAACCTCCAGTGTAGTAGATCCTTGCGACGTATTGCAACCCCTGCCCGGGTCTCTGGCGGATCCAGAACAGGTCAACACTCCCAAAATCAAACCCGGACCCTAGGCAGAGGAGGCGCAGGGACCCCCCGGGGAGTTGGATTTCCCCCCCGCACTCCAGCAGGGTCACGGCCACCCGGAGCCCTGCAGGACAAAGGGGAGATGGGGATGAAGGAAAACATCCACCCAAATGTTGATTCTTGCATGCACATTCTGATGTTGCCCAAAAATTGGGACCCTTGGACCTCACCATCTTCCTCCTGCAACTCCTGCTAGTCATCCCGGGTGGATCCCACACCCTTTTTCTGGAATGGCAGCGCCAACATTGACCGCAAAGCCAATCCATACCCTCATCCCCATCTCCCCTTTATCCCACAGGGCTCCAGCAGCCGTGACCCTGCTGGAGTGCGGGGGGGACCTCCAGCCCCCCGGGGGGTCCCTGCGCCTCCTCTGCCCCGGGTCCGGGTTCAGTTTCAGGAGTTTTGCCATGAACTGGGTGCGCCAGAGCCACGGGCAGGGGCTGGAATTTGTGGCATACATAAACATTGACGGAGCCACTTACTACGCGCCATCGGTCAAGGGCCGGTTCAGGATCTCCAGGGAAAACGGGCAGAGCTCGGTGACGTTAACCATGAACTACCTCATGGACGAGGGTTCCGGATCCCTTTTCTGTGCCAGGGCTGCTGATGGTTATGGTGCTGGTGGTAATGGTGACGATGCCCTTGATGGTCTCACGCTCCTGCCTTTCATCCCACTCCCATCATTGAGTCCCCAGAGTTCAGCTTTTCATCCCAAACCTCACCCATTGACCCAGCCCTTCACCCTTTGTCTCCATTTGCCACAATGGTCAGCACTGACCCAAAACCCTGCCCTGCTCCTGCCCCAAAACTCAACCATTGGCCCCAAACCTTCACCCCTGGGGTCCAGTTCAGGCCTGCTCCAACCAGGTCTTGAGAGCTGGGGGAGATTTGGGTGGAATGGGAAAAACTGGGAGAAATTCAGGGGCTGGGGCAGCAGGGGCGGAGTTTGGGGTTAAATGGCCGAGATTTGATGAAAAGGCCTGAGATTTGGTGGAGAGATCAGAGGAATATGGGATATTTGGGAACAAAGTGGAGGGATTTGGGACCAAGATCAGAACCAGCAATAAATGCCACACCAACAGTACCATCACTATAGGCACAACCACCAACAACGCATTTGGCACAGAAATAGGATCCGGAATCCTCGTCCTTGAGGTTGTTCATGGTCAGCATCACCGAGCTCTGCCCGTTGTCCCTGGAGATCCTGGACCGGCCCTTGACCGATGGCGCGTAGGCGATGCAGCCACCTTTGTCCTTGATCCCTGCCACGAATTCCAGCCCCTGCTAGGCTCTCTGGCGCACCCAGAACATGGAGAAACTCCCGAAATTTAACCCGGACCCTCGGCAGAGGAGGCACAGGGACCCCCCGGGGGGCTGGAGGTGCCCCCCGCACTCCAGCAGGGTCACGGCCGTCCGGAGCCCTGCGGGACAAAGGGGAGATGGCCACCAGGCCCAGCTGTGCCATTCTCATTCCCAGCACAGAGTCAGACACCATTCCCTCTGTCTCTCTGTCTCTCTCTCTCTCTCCCTCTCTCTCTCTGTCTCTCTCTTTCTGTCACAGGATTTTTCCTGGAGCAGCACAGAGAGAAGATGAAGAGGAAACAATTCCCATCTCTCCTCGCTGCTCCTGCTGTTTCTGCGTGTGTGGAAAGTGTCAGGGGGATTGTTCCCCTCCAGGGATTCATCATTTGGGTTCTGCTGCAGATTGTTTTGTTTCCTTGGCCAATGGGCTCCACGCCGTGACCTGGCTCTGTCAAACTCTCACGGGGATTCTTTAGGATTTTTCCGTCTCTTTTATACGGAATATTTTAGTATATCTTTAGTATAGATGTAATATAGCATTAATGAGATATAATATAGTATTAATGAGATATACTATAGTATTAATGAGATGAAATATTCCTTTAACGAGATGTAATATAGCATTAAAGAGATGTAATATAGTATTAATGAGATATAATATAGTATTAATAAGTTATAATATAGAATTAATGAGACATAATGTAGTATTAATGAGATATAATATATTATAAATGAGATGTAATATAGTAATAATGAGATATAATATTGTATCAATGTAATAAAATACAATATTAATGTAATATAGTAGAGATTTAATAGAGCAATTGTTCAACATTCTGCATAATGGAGTCAGATGCTGTGACCCAGCTGGAGTGCGGGGGGGACCTCCAGCCCCCTGGGGGGTCCCTGCGCCTCCTCTGCCGAGGGTCCGGGTTCAGTTTTGGGAGTTTTGGAATGTTCTGGATCCATCAGAGAGCCGGGCAGGGGCTGGAGTGGCTCGCAGGGATCAGCAGTGGTGGTTACACGGAGTACGCGGGTTTGGTCAAGGGCCGGTTTAGGGTCTCCAGGGACAACGGGCAGAGCTCGGTGACGCTGACCATGAACAACCTCAAGGACGAGGATTCCGGATCCTATTTCTGCGCCAAGGCTGCTGGTGCCAGTTGGGGTAATGATGTCTCTGCTCTTTGCCCCTTCCCCTTGACTGGGTCCCCTCCTGCCCCCAGGCCCCAGACCCTTCCACCAAATCTCAGCCCTTGACCCCATTCTTCACCCTTGGTCCCAGATCTCCCCCAGTTCCACCAACGCCAACCACGGAGGCAAAACCCCCAATCGGGTTCTGCCCCAAACCCAATAAAGTTTGCACGAAAATCACCCAATTCTGCCCAAAAACCCCACTTTGTTCTCCCAGCCACAGCTGCTGACACGAATCCCCAATTCTGACCAAAATCAGGACCCTGGGCCTCAAACCCCGACCTTCAGGGCAAAGTTTTAGGGCACAAAGGGGAGATTTGGGGTCGGGAGTTGTGGTTTGGGGTCAGCGGGTGAGAATTGGGACCGAGGCAGAGCAAGGTTGGGATCGATGGTCAAGGGCTGGGTGTGGGCTGGGGGTTTGGGGGAAGGGTCTGGGCAACGGGGACGGGGGGGACACGGGCATAGGGACAGCTTGGGCATTGTCAATAAAACCACCACCACCACCATCACCATCATCAGATTTGGCACAGAAATACGTGGCGGAATCCTCGAAATTGAGGTTGTTCATGGTCAGCGTCACCGAGCTCTGCCCATTGTCCCTGGAGATCGTGAACCGACCCTGGACTGACGGCGCGTACCCGGTGTAAGAACCACGGTGTCTGATGCCCGTGACCCATTCCAGCCCCTGCCCGGGTCTCTTGCGGACCCAGTTCATGGCAAAACTCCCAAAATCAAACCCGGACCCTCACCAGAGGGGGCGCAGGGACCCCCCGGGGGGCTGGAGGTCCCCCCCAGACTCCAGCAGGGTCACGGCCGCCCGGAGCCCTGCGGAACAAAGGGGAGATTATGGTAACAAGAAATCGGATTGGTCCAGAAGGGGAAAAGGGGCATGGCTTGCAGAAAAAGGGGCAGGACCCACTTGAGAGGGCAGCCAGGAAGAGGATATGGCGGCAGAAGTGTCAAAATTTTGGGCCAAAAGTCGGGGTTTGGGTCAAGGGTTTAGCTTTGGCCTCATCCCCATCTCCCCTTTGTCCCCCAGGGCTCCGGGCGGCCGTGACCCTGCTGGAGTGCGGGGGGGACCTCCAGCCCCCTGAGGGTTCCCTGCGCCTCCTCTGCCGAGGGTCCGGGTTCAATGACGGCAGTTTTGTCATGTGCTGGATCCGCCAGAGACCCGGGCAGGTGCTGGAATGGGTTGGAAGTATCAGCAGTGGTGGTCGCAGCACCTTCTATGCGCCATCCGTCAAGGGCCGGTTCAGGATCTCCAGGGACAACGGGCAGAGCTCGGTGACGCTGACCATGAACAACCTCAAGGACGAGGATTCCGGATCCTATTTCTGTGCCAGGGCTGCCTATAATAATTGGGTGCTGCTGCTGGTGTGGATGGTGTTAACCTCATCCCCATCCCCGTGTCCCCACCTGTCCCCATTCCCCAGCCCCTTCCCCACACCCCAGCCCCGGACC